TGCCCAATTTGGAGTGGCGTAAACAGAGAGGTGGCCAACCCTTGACTTGGCGGAGGAGTATGAAGGAGATCACGAAATGCTTGAGTCCTGTCGGTGCTACTCACCTTCCAGGATAGGGACCGCGTGATCCTCACTGTCCGGTTGGAGACACCACAAGATATGGCTGCCAACCGATGTCAGTGGCGTTCTTGTTGTCAGTTTCTATCCAGATTGCCTGAGTGAATGTCTGGAAGTGTAGGCACCTCGGAATGATTGTGTTAAGCTAGCACTAAGTCCCTTCCGCGTTCACCTTTATTCTTTTCTTCACAATAAGGCTTTCAATTAAATCATGGTTGTACGGCAGCGAAGCATCGGTGCTGAACACTGATGTCATGCTGTCGATGATGAGGATGATGAGAAATTTTCCACAACCTCCAATGATTCTCATTGAATTGTAAGCGATACGTTCGCAGACAGCACGCTCTGAAGCATGACTTCGCACTTTGAAGGTGCATGCCAAAAGATGCAAAAGTAGATAAACTTGATGGAGCTGAGACTCGATTCGGTGCTAATCTTGAAGTAGAATCAAGACGTACATCACCATCATCGTCACCATCATCATGGGCAATACGACATCAGTGTGCAATACAGATGAATCGCTGCCTTACGGGCAACGGCGAACGCCTTCTGGTTACTAACTGACCTCGAACTCTTTCTGTGGGGTACCAACTCTCGAAACGAACAAGGGATTTGGGCCAGATTCCCAACCCCACTCGCTTGCGAGGCCTAGACCGGAGAAGTTGAGATGTAGAGGTCGGGTTCGAACCAAAGGCCTTCCGATCAGTAAATTCGCGCTCTAACCATTGAGCCAACTCGCTTAAGTCGATTTGAACCACGCGGTTGTTCGTTGCTGCTTTTCCATGCGCTTCCCAGGGAGGCCTAAATTGCGTACACCATGTCTGACCATTGATAGCACCTTCGGACATTATCTCAAAGAAAACCTACAAAGTCACCAATAGCAAAAGATCGCCTATCTTCGTGAATTGTTGGGTTGAACACCTTCAAGAAAAACCAACTGTCGATCTGCAGTTGTTCAACTGTATCGACAGTCATGAACATCGAATTTGAAACAGACGGCTTCGGAGATAAGAGAATGCGTCACCGAGTTGCTGGTCCTAAGGAGCTGCCGCCTGTTCTGTTCAAAAATGGAGGTGAAATCCTCAGGCGATGCTTGTTAACCTTGTGTGACTCTACCATGGAGAGAGCTGCCCAACCAACTGGGGTTAATCGTTAGTGGTGTCTACGTTCAAAGACGGTGACCAAAACGGTGACATGCATATAACCGTCTTTCATAAATTCAAGGGCTCATCTGATTCTGTCGACTGGTTCGTTCTTTTCAATACTCTTGCGTGTTTGGCTATCACGCCCTGTTCGCATCACATACTTGTTGGTACATGATTTTAGGGAGCTCTCCAGAAGTTATCCTGCAAGCAATGATGTCCGATAAGAATGTCTACTCTCTACGTTTTTTTGTTTGATTTCATCATCGAAGGACTAATGAGGCGAACATTAGGTCTCGAAACCCCAGGATTTTGATCTATCAAAGCGAGGACCTTGTCGACCAGGAGTATGCAGGCTATATTTTCCTCATTTTGAAGAGCAGGGAGCGCAAACGTTATTGTAAAAGATGATTAACGTAATCCAGTCCCTCAGTATGTGTTCTGCACTCACAAAGTGCAGTCACAATGCGCGACAAGCAGTGTTTGGACATGCCTGTAGTAATTCAAGAGGTGCTGGAACACTATACACTACTGAAAAGTTACATTAACCCTGACGGTAGTGTGACGGACAGAGCGAACACACGAATTTCACAGACCGGAATTGCTTTTGACAATTTGCACCACTTATTGCGCGCGTTTGAAATTGAAGTGAGAACCATTTGTTGCACGGCTGCCACACCTGGTCACTCCGGGCGGAGGGCCATGTTTTTGACAACGGACATTTTATAACCAGAGTTGGAATAAGCTGGGACTAACGGAATGAGGTTACCCAAAAGCGGGTTTTGGGTGTGACAGATGGCACCTCACTCAAAGAATTCACCATATAATTTAGGCCAATTTATCTGGACCATCTGTTACTACCTAGGCACTGCCTGTCGAGACTAGCGCTGGCTCCTTGTACATTTCTCCAATGCTACAATTTACAACATTTGGAAGCTACTGGCCCAATGTCCTGATACGAGAAACTTCGTCTTAAGAACTCCAAGCACAGCAAACCGAAAGCCTGCATAATCGTCCCAAAATAGCACGTGAGACTTGCATGCACCCGTATTACATGGTGAAATAGTCTCAGCGGACACTTACTTGGCAACACTGAGGAGTTCACGCTTTCGATTTTCGATGCATGACACCCGCGTTCAAGAAGGGTTGCCATGGGTGCACATCGATAACCAGGGCCTTCTTTCGTATCGTCATATGCTTCATCAAAGCACCACGAACAACGTGGGTCTGCGCCCATACATTCCCCACAATCCTTTACCCGGAAGCAATTGGCCTCATTTCCGAGATACTGACACAGGACTCTTGGAGTTGAAATAAAATACACCAGTAATGCGAACAAAGTCAACGGCTGCATCGAGGTGTCATATAATCACGGGACGACGTTGCAGTAAACGTATAGTCGGACGACCTCTGGACTAAGTCAGAAGAACCAGAATTGGCGATTGTCCACAGGCAGCCCCGAACGCCTATTGGTTAGATTTCATTTCAAGGTCTGCAAAAGTCAGTATCAGCAAAATGGAATTGGTAACTCGAAACCTACGGCATTTTCAGGATTGCTACTTCAACGTGCGAACTGCCTATGTATAATGTATATGCACACGTATTATGCAAATTATCTACATTGGAGATTTGCTCAAGTGTGCAGATCATCATGGTCATCAATCAACACCGATTGTGATACATTGCCAGATTTAACGAGATAACGTGAATCGAGGTAGAAGGCGGACGTATTTTGCGCCGGGTTTTAGACAGACATCCAATATTTCTCTCAATCCATGGTTCAAAGGAGATCCAACTTTACCATGAAGTTTCAGCATTTGATGGTATTTATTGGAATACTTAGGACCTCCCCATCAGGCCGCGGTTTAATTGGAGGTCGCCTAAACGCCCTCAAAGTCCATATTGAGTGCGGAATTCATATTTAAGTGGCTCCTTGTGATGTCTTCATGACTACAGTGCAAAGGTTTGCCCAGTGGCTGATTTCTCCACATGTTTTCTTCCATAACGGAATTGGAAATAATCACAAGACTACATGAGGAATAATTAGGTCCTCTGTGTCAGTGCGAGGTCATATGAAGCAGCCGTTCGAGAACTATATAGGAATTGTGATGGACATGATTCATACTCTGTTCATTGCTCTATTCTTTATTCTAGAGTTTTAATATTACATATGCTGTACATATGGAATACGCTGTACGCTAATTCGAATACATGCTTGCTACTTGTTATGCTGCACTGGTTCTGGACTTCTGGTTCGTCTGGTTATACTGATATACGTGCGGAACTTAATTCTCACATTTTGACGTCGCGATTGGAACAATCCATCATGCCTTCCGAAATGGAACCATTGGATGTTCATTCAGCTGCGCGAGGCGCAGATGATTATTCGGAACGGTTTAACATATGGTGTCTCACAAAATCTGATGTGGACGATGAAAAACTCACGGCATAATTCCTACATTTCGTTGGGAAGGAGGAGTATACGTTGACCAAGAATTTAATATATCCTGAAACTCCGATCGACATTTCCCACGATACATTGAAAAAAATTCTTCAACACTTCAAACCGATTGACTTCGTAGCAACCGAAAGAGCTAGGTTCAATATGATGACCCGCTCCTATTCTCAGTCGGTTCGTGATTTCGTGTTACAGCTGCAGACACAGACAGCCAAATGTGACTACGGTGCCCAATTGGAATACCAGCTGCGTGATAGACTCATTGCTGGCATTCAACTGCCCGAATTACAGCAGAAGCTGTTACTCTGTCCGGATCAGAAACTTCAAACTATTCGGAAAATATGTGAGCAGTATGAAGATGTGAAGCATGTGACGAAGACTGAGGAAGCAGTCTTGTTAAATTATTCTAAAAGAAATAATTCAAGGATGCAGACGAACAACAAATTCAAACCTCGAACAGATTCTCGTGCTACTAATCCATCAATACGCCACTTCACAGATCGCAACCCTTATCCGATGGCTCAAAAATTTGGGAAACGTGAATCTTGTGGACGAAACCATTTCTGGTATTCATGCCCTCACAGGCAAGAGAAGTGTTGTATCTGAGGTAAAACGGGACACATCCAACTTGTCCGTAAGTCCTAAAAAAGTGTGTTACTTAACTTCTGATCCTAATACCGCATTGAAACCATTATCTGAAAACGTCTCTAACCTTTCTTTGTCAGTTTAGTCCCAGAATTCGCCACACGTTTTTAAAACGTTGATATCTGCTTCTGGTCAAAAGCATGACCTCACATTTGACACTGGTAGCGTAGAGTCCACTATTCCACAATCAGATCTAATTGCATTCTACCCCAGTGTGGTGATGGTGCTTACAGATTTTAACATTCGCGGTATCACTGGACATTCTGTACCCCTAGTTGGTGCTTGCACGAGCCCTGTGAGATTACCCCCAAGAAACCGCTATCGGCTGTAAATGTTTGGTTTCAACCTCGGGACCATCGATTATCGGACTCAAATTCTGCGCGCACTGCGAGCTAGTATCACCTTAATGACTTCTGTGAATGAGAATGAACTCAAACAACTGATTCCTAAATGTTCTGAGACTACAGGTGGCATGCAAACACCCTAGGGGAGACATCAATTTCCAGGAGAGCCTATATTTCTTAAGAGGCGAATTATTCCATTCAGCTTACGCGAGCCTGTTGTGCAAACCCCCTAGGGGAGACATCAATTTCCAGGAGAGCCTATATTTCTTAAGAGGCGAATTATTCCATTCAGCTTACGCGAGCCTGTTGGTCAAGAATTAAATTTACTGTGTGCGAAAGAAATACTGGCTCCGGTCGAATCATGGAATTCGAAACTCCGATAGTTACCCCACTGATGGCTGATGGTGTTACTCTGAGAATTCGTGGTGACTACTGGCTAACGTTAAATACGCGGCTACTGATGCCTCTTTTCAAACATCACTGGACGAATCCTTACCGTGATCAACACACCCTTTGGGTTATTTACAAACAATTTCTCTCACTTTGGTCTGAACGTTTCACCATCTGTATTTCAGCAAGATACGAATACAATTGCAAAAGATTTTGGAGGGGTTGGGACGTACCAAGATGACGTCATTGTGCACGCTGCTGACAAGCCTACCCATGATATGCGTCTGCTGTAATTACCGAAGCGATTTTCTGAGTTCAATGTAGCTGTCACCTTGACAAATGCACTTCTGGTGTCCCACCATTTACATGCCTTGGCTACATTGTGGGCGGCAGCGGTTTTGAAGATGATGCAAACCGTCTACCCCCTTTAGTAAACGCGCCATCACTGACCAGTCTACAAGAACTGCGTTCGTTTCTAGGAGCACTTCAATACTACTCCCGTTTCATTTCTAATTTCGCCAAACATGCTAATTGCCTGTTTGATGTGATATCCTCCAATCAATTTTCTTGGTCCTCCCACCCTGAAAAGACGTTGCGTGCACTGCTTGGTTATCTTCAGAGTTCAGCCGTTTCGAAACCATTCTCCACCAAACATCATTCGACCATCAATACCGATGTCTCTCCCACTGGAATAGGAGCTATCCTTGAACAGTGCGGTAGACCAGTTACCTGCATTTCCCGTTGACTTTCAAAAGCCGAACGTGGATATTCTCAGACTCAACGAGAAGCGCTTGCCGTATATTGAGCTGTCAAACGGCCCTATGAATATCTACTTGGATCAAACTTCACGATTGCTACTGATCACGAGGCTTTGTAGTTCTTGTATCATTTAAGAAAGTCTCTGACGAAGTCGTCTGCCGCGATGGCGCAACGGCGGATCACTGCACTCAGTTCGTACAACCACATGATTGTTCATCGTAGTGCAAAAATGATACCTCATGCCGATTTCTTGTCAAGAATTCCATCAGGCAACTCTGATTCAAACAGTCCAGATTGCTTGCTGATTCAGTCATTGCCAGCCGATCGGGATGCGCTTGTTGCCGATACTAAAAGATATTTCGCCCCATTTTTATGCACTACGACGTGGCTGGACGTAGCATGAACCGCGCCAATTTCCTGTTTTTTACTGTCGCTGTCTTCACAGTGGCATCCGTGGCCAGTTACTTGTGAAGCATTTCAACGAGTTCATGTTGACTGCTGTGGTCCTTTTATCGGTAAATACTATGCTTCAATTATCATGGACGCATTTTCACGTTAGCCTGATGTTTTCTAACTACGTCTCCAGGCGCCGAATTCACACAGTAAGCATTGAGGAAAGTGCTCATTCATAAAGGTGAACCAACTGTTTTGGTCGCTGGTAACGGCACACGCTTCACTGCCAAATTCTTCGAGGAGTGGTTAAAAGTCTTTAATGTCGACACCTGTTTACTGCTCCGCGACATCTCCAATCGAATGTACTTGCTGAGAATTTTGTCCGAACACTGAAGTCTGACATGATTTTACTCTCTCCTACTACTTTTGTGGAATTGGGCCGTGAGCTTGATAATTTTCTAATGCAATACAAAAACGCCGTCCATTCCGTTACTGGGACGTGTCCCGCACTTCTATTCAAATCTCATTCGTTGCGTACAAGTCTTGACTGTGCCAAAACGGCTGATGTTACATTTTTCAAGGGTAATGATTTACGACCTGTTACAGGAATAATACTTTCATCAACTGACAAACAGATGGTCACATTTCTCAGTTTGGATAATCTCTCTTGCCACCGAAGATCTGGTGACCAGGTTGAGTTAAATATCAAAGGTCAGTCTGTTAAACAAATACTAATGAGTCCATTGTAGGCAATCTCATGGTATCCGAACAAAACCTTATATCTGAAGAACGACCACCTGTGAAGAATCTGAGGTTCCTATTCCGAGGGGATCCGAAAGATTGCGATCAAGACCACAACTGGACTATAAACATCTGCACACTTGTTCAAGTTGTGTCGGACGTAATAAGCATGATTGACACTCTATTCCGTGCTCTATTCATTATCATATTGTTTTAATATTCCATATGCTGTACATATGGAATACGCTGTACTCTGCTTCGAATACATTCGTGCTACTTGTTATACTGCACTGAGGTATGGACTCCTAGTTCGTCCGGTTATAATGATATACGTGCGAAACTTAATTCTCACAGGAATGATTTGTATGGTTGCGATAGGCTAAACACAGTCAAATGATTCATCGCATCTAGTGAGCATTTTTATGCTGGTCAGCATACGCCACATCGATTGCTCGCAAGGTTTCATCTTCACTGTTAAACTGACCCCTTGATTGTATCATTGGAAGGATTGGTGGGTTTATGGAAGCACCAGAAAGACGGTGCTTTTAAGATCTAGTAAAGACACAAAGGGTTTTGGATAGTCTTGTGGACAAGTGCAGCACGCTAGTTCGGGAAATGCTAGAGGTATGAACTACGAGCGACGCATCAAACTAGATGCGGCGGTCGCGACGTCGTACATGGGTTTGTAGAAGGCTTGTACACGGACATCTTTGGGAGCCGTTTCGGTC